ATATTTTTTATTTTTTTTTGAATGGGAATTTTGATACAAAAAAAGGTTTTTGATGTTTCACGAAAATGGTTGCGTTGTATAACATTGATCATTGATAATTGATAATTGATAATTGATAATTGATAACCTAATTGATAATTGATAACAATAATGATCATTGATCATTGATTGCTCACTTTTGCATTCTCATTGTAAACTTGTTTCTGTTTGTAATACTAATTAATTACTATTCTTTTTAGAGACATGTCAACAGTCTATCTAGAGATAAAGCGCCTTACTTTAAAGTTCTCTCAAGAATTACCTAAAGAGGATCTTACTAAATAACCGCCTATATCAGTGGGGATGTCAATCGAGCAAATCAGGTAGAGCAAGCCCTAGCTGTCTTTGATACTGATGAAGACAAATGCAATTACTTGAGAACTTATTTGGACTTTTTGAAGCCTGGTATGTTCCCACAGTAATTTAATCAAAGTATAAAATAAAACTTTTTGTTGGCTGTTGCTTCGTTTTTGTCTGCATTATTTTATATATATATAGATATCTCCAACAAGCGAAGAAGAATTGGTGATAGCAATGAAGAACTGGGGGCTTGGAACGCTTTGAAGAGTGGAACAAAAGAAAACCAGTTTCTTCGGTTGTCTAAAGAGGCCTCCTATATTTTAGGTGATGATGATAAAGGTTCCAATCCACCTGCTCTGTTCATCCGTGATTGCTATATTCACCTTTCAGAGATTATTCTTGAGGATGACAATATCCGCCGTTTGCGTATTACTGGCAATCCGGGAATTGGAAAGACCTTCTTTGGTTATTACCTACTTCATCTGCTTGCAATGCGAAATAAGACAGTTATATATCACAAATGTAACAAAACACCAATTCTTTTCAGTGAAGAAGCTGTTTATCATATTTACCAAGATAATATTTATGAATTCAATGATTTTCTGATGAAAAGAGATGTATGGTATATTGTGGATGGCCGAGAACCATCAGATATTCATGCAAAGACAATTCTTATCTGTTCACCCCAGAAGCATTACTATCACAAATTCGACAAGCTTGGTACAATTATTCGGTATATGCCAGTGTGGTCATATGTAGAAATCAAGAAATGCAAAGATAAACTTTTTCCTGATCTTAATCAAGAATTGGTTCAAAGCTTATACAATAAATGGGGCGGGATTCCTCGTTATACATTGTATTATGCGCTTAATGATAGTCAACAAGATCTTCTCCAAATGGCAATTAGCACTGTTAATCAAAGAATATTGAACTTTGTTGGTGATAGAATAATTAAACATATACAATGACCAACAATCCAAAAAGTTGCAGCTAAGTAACAACAAATTAACCATTAAAAGTCTTAAAGAAAATAGAATCAACAATCAACACTTGACAACTTTTTGTAATTTTTTTTTATAAATGATCCAATCTATGTGAAGATCTACAAATTTTATATAATGAACTTTTTTAGCCAGCCTGGTTGTTGAGCCAATCTATCGGCCTAATTGGGCCTGCAAAGTTTCGTTATAGAGAGTGTGCACTGTATATATTTTATATAATTGTAAAAACAATAAAAACCCCCCAAAAATTAGAATCCTTTCCATAAAAAAATTTCACGCCGCCATCAGATACATCACTCATAAATTACATTTATGATTAAGTGCCTTTAGTCCACAAAAAGTACACCAACATCGGTTTCAGGATAATTTGACCTCATTTTTGAAAATATTTATCCCAATTTGGCCTGCCAAAATGAGTTGGTGATGGTATCCTTAAGTTTTTATATAATGAGACAGTCAGATATGTATGTATTTCTATAAATTGATCGATTCCTTGTTCCTCTATCACTATTAATAGTGATTGGAACCATTCAAATGAGTAAGTTTGCATGGGTAGATAGATGGAGAAGAACAGAGTGACAATATTTAAGTTACCCAAAAAAATAAACTTTACAAAGATACACATGGGACGGTGATTGTTTTGCCAAAAACGCAATACATAATATCTAATTACGAAATTAATCACGCGTGATGAAATTTATTACGAGCATTGTAGACGAAATTAATTATGGGTGATGTAAAAATCCATTAATTAATCAATCATACATTGGATGGTAGTTGTTATACGTATTACGTACTGTAAAGTCTCGAAATATCATGCCCCCCAAAAGATAGCACCCCTCCCTACTTTGAAACAATTGAAAATCATTTGTTACATAGTCGTAAACAGTTGTAAAAAGGGATGATATCTTTCGAGACTTTACGGTAATACGTAATAGTAATACGTAATTACGAAATTAATTACGCGGGACGAAATAATTTCACACATACTAACATTCTTTGTCTCTCTTATAAAAACACTTTTATAGTCGGAAATTAAACTGTCCATTTGATTATCAGGGTGGTATAGAACTCTGAGGTTTTGTTTATTTGCTTTGATGTAGAGAAAAGTTTTTGACGTTGGTTAATCAATGTAGCGTTAATAACGGGTTGTATATAAAATTTTCAGTTTCTTTGATTTCAAATAGCATTATTCAATTAATTTCGTCGCCCGTAATTAGTTTCGTCACCTGTAATAAATTTCGTAACTACATTTTTAAAGAAGGAAAGTGGAAATTAATTACGATAATTACGAATTGCGTATTTACGGTAATTAGGCAATTACCATCCCATGTATAAATTTATGTGTTAGAATATCAATGGGGATTTCTATCGCTGCAAAATATGATATGTTACACGTAAAATGAATATTTCAAGCCTTGTACAGTATATATTATCTAGTAAATTATGCGTAACGTTACTTCTCAACTTTAAATTGTATGTGATGGGTCGAAAAAATAGAAAAAAAAATCAACAAAACGAGCAGAACCAACAAAAAGAACAGAACCAACAAAACAATCAGAACGAACAGGACCAACAGAATGAGAGTCAGAAGGAACAGAATCAGAATAATATATTTTTAGAAGCTTTAATTGATATAAATGATCCAGAAAATATCGTAAATAATAATAGTAGCAGTGATAATAGTAATAATAACAGTAACAATGATAATAGCATCTTTAACAACAATAGCAGCAATAGTAGTACCAATAATAATGAAGAACTTAGCATAGAGTTTTTGGAAAATTTTTTAGGTGATGTTGCAAAAATTTATAATCATGGTAAAACATTCTTGACTTTTAATGAAGAAAAAGAAAATTTATCAAAACAAATTTTGCAAATTAAAGATGAATATAATGATTTAATTAAAGAGAAGGATAAAACAATTGCAGAATTTAAGGAATCAATAGCAATAGTTAAGCTTAATAATATCAGTCTAACAAATAACAATAATGATCTAAATTCAAAAATGTCAGAAAAAGATGCTGCAAATGATAAATTAAGAAAAGAAACAATTGAATATCAAAATCTTTATTCAACGCTAGTAGCTAAATATAATGATTTAGTTCAAGAATATAATAACTTAAAAGAAGAGCTAATACCACAAATAGCTATGAATGTAGGATTGACTGAAACTAATATCAAATATGAAAAACAATATAATCAATATGTCAGTCAGTTGAACAGATTAAAAAAACATAATTCAGAATTACAACTTCAACATGATCGTAATGTTGTAAATAATAAAAAAAGAGTAACATTATTAAATCAAAA